CGGTAGTCCCCCCGTCCCCCAGCAGGCTTAGTTTAAAGCCCGGTGGAGCAGGTCAGCCAGTCTGGCTGAGAAGAGCCTCCTCCCTAGCCTCCTCCTAGGGGAGGAGGCTCCCTACATATTCTTGTAGGGAGAGTGAAATAAATGTTTTAAATCACTGTGGAGAATGAAGACCACCACAAGTAAAGATGATAAGTGGAAAATGGATATCTCCATTACTGGAAAATGTGAAATGTTGATGAAGAGAAAACAATTTGGCTTCTTTCTAATGACTCAAAGTCTGTGTTATATTCCCCGTGTCAGGGATGGGCAAAATACAGCCCGTGGGCTTTGACCTGGACCCTGGCCCCACACTATCGCCACCCCATGATCCTGGCCCCTGCCCAGCTGTCCTGTTCCCAGATGCCGCTGCCTGCCCATGGCCCCATCCCATCCACCCAGCCAGGTGCACCACACCCTGCCTACAGGACCCCGCCTGTCTGCTCCATCTGGCAACCCTGGCAGTGGGTGAGAGGTGGACAGGCCCCAGGCTGGCTAGTATCAATTTTACACCCCCCACCCCCCTCTTTCAGTCTGCAACAGCTCACCCAAATTCCTAAAGTGGCTCTCCAGCCAAAATAATTACTCACCTCTGCCCTGTGCGTATTTGCAATACGTGCCCAAACAATAAAGGTCAAAATCAGTTAAAATATCTGTTTTACCTTACTGCTGTATATCATTTCATTTTATCTGTTTTTCTTTTTATGTTTTTGTACCATTCTACCTGTTTTATGGTAAAAAAACATGGTAAAACTGGTGGAACGTATGTTTTTAGCAACACCCATAATTGTATAACTTTTATTATATGATATAATAAAAAGGACAATGAAATAATATATTGTTTTAGTAAAAGCTGTATATAAATAAACAAATAAAAATAAAAGCTTTTCTGAGAGTGGATGATAGTTTTAGGGAATGCTATGTGGGCATTTAGCTTGTTTGTTATGAACGAGCAAAGATTGTTATGAGCCATGTGCAAATGCATTAACTTTCACATTGATTATAGCTGTTGAATTAGGAGGTACATATACTTATTTCGAGGAATGTTTTCCTGGAATACTGTACATATTGTATGGGGCAAACAAAAGACCATTTTATTTTGTCCTTTAGAAGAATCTTTTTAAGCTAAGGAAAAGTAATGGATAGATAATATAACTGCATTTGGAGAAAGGAACATACTCCATTAAAGTAGAATCTTTCTCCAAATCAAAAGTTTAGAGTGAAAAATTATTCATATTGTCACGTGGGTGCTTTGACCACTAGTATGTGGTACGTATTTTTTTTAAACTGCAGTATCTTAAAGCTACTCAGTTATTAGCATAGTCTAGATAATTTAGTTTGCATGGTTTTGAGATGTTTTATAGCGTTATTCTAGGTACTTTAGTTTGAATACTGTACAGTATGATAGCTCTGTAATCAAGAGAACAATAAATTATAACTTTATAGATTAACTAAAAATGTATATGCTGAAGAAAAATAAATTAAAAACTGAAATTGAAATTTTGCTAGATTACTAAAATTGTTCTTTGCTTTGTCGTATGCATGTTTTAAATTGGTATGCGTTTTTAAAAAAAGAAATACAAATGCAAAATATTGCTTATAACTTTGGCCTAACAATATTGTCTCCCCACAGAATGTCACACAGAAAATGAAATAAAAGCAAGAGATCCTATCAGATGTCGAGAATGTGGATACAGAATAATGTACAAAAAAAGGACAAAAAGATGTATCCTTTTACAGTCCTCTTATCTTTGGGTAGGTAGAGAAAAATAAAGGTTAGAATAAGAAATTGGGTTGATTTTTATGACTCCATGCAGCGACAAAAAAAGCTTACAAATGAAAAATGCGTATGAAGAACAACCTGTACATCTCTGCAACTTACAGTATTTTCACTGATAGTGGAATCATTCCGGATATGTCAATCACTTTTTGTTAATGCAAACCACAGTAAACTGTCAGCTGTTATCATCTGTAACAGTAAAGACAGATACGAAGTACACTGGGTAATGAGATTGCCATGCATGTTCCAAATTTTAAGATATAAATACAAACTATTGGGGTTATAACTAAAAATGAGTTTGAAACTGTGTTCTGTGCAACTCTTGTGATCTGCTGTTTTCTACTTTTTCTTTAACACAAATTTATAACAGTGGTGGTTTTTGATGCCCGATGATGTGAACCCAAGATGTAGCTGCTTTATCTTAATGCTGAATTATCTCTGCTAACTTTTGCTGTATAAGAGTGTGCAGCTACATGTACTTTTCCATCCTGTTACCTGCTGTTATAAGTTATTTGTTTGCAATAAAGTTTTAACATCAGATATTCAGTCTAATGATTTGTATACATATAATGATTTTTTTTTTCAGTAAGCAGGCTTCTAAAACTATTAGACAAGCTTTCAAATGCAAGACGTGTTTCTTCAGGTCTCTGAGGGTGGTGCCTGGTGTGCTGAGCTTTGAGATCTTTTACCTGATCAGCTCTGATCCGCTCTGGTGAGGACCCTGTGGCAGGATAAGAGCTTCCAGTTTAGTGTAGTGTAACTTTGTAGAAGTCCTTGGGATTCAGTGGAGTTATGCTAGTGCTAAACTTGGCCTCATATCTCCAAGTTATCTGCTCTCCACCCCCACCCACCCCCCTTCCCAATATCTCTTGAAACTCGTAAAGGCAATATATCTCATCCAATGCACCAAATGCCCAGATGGAAAATACGTAGGTGAGACCAAACAACAACTGTGCACCAGAGTGAACGCACACCGGAAATCTATCAAAGACAAGAATACCCAATTACCGGTGGGGATACATTTCTCGCAAGAAAACCACTCTCCAATCTCTCAGTCCTGATCCTCAAAGGAAACTTACAAAACACTTCCCAGACACAAGCCTATGAACTTGACTTCATCAACCTCCTGAATACTGAAAATCATGGACTAAATATAGACATTGGATTTATGACACATTATAATCTGCCTGACAGCTGACTTCCCAGGTACTTCTCCACTATTCACTCCTCCCCTTTTCATCCCCCTTCCCCCCCCCCCCCCCCAGCCTCTCTCTCACCCATTGACTCCACAATCTACATTTTCACTGACTATCTGTCTTGCATGCAGCCCAGCCCAGCCCCTGGCTTCTTTACTTTTCATTGCATCCAGGAAGAGCACACGCCAACTGCTGAAACTTCCTTAGCCTGACGAAGGGTTTTTGAACCAGAAAAATTGCTTAAATATTGTTCTCCAACTATTTAGTTGGGCTAATAAAAAATATCAGATTCACCCAAAGAACCTTGTCTGCCAGTCCTTTGAGGCACTCATAAAGAGAAACTCATAAAGGCCTTCCAACTTATTGCCATCCTTGATTTCCAAGATAGTGTTTAATGTGTTAAGGCAAACACAACTGTAATGGTAAAATGCACTCTGTTAACTACAGACATCAACACTATTTATTGCTTGTTAGGTGTTCCTGAGAGGGAAGGTGATGTAGGTAAGTGATGTAGCCCTGATGGTCCAGAAATGGAGAGAGGCAAGGATCCCCTAGGGGGGATATCCGTCTTTTATTGAACCAGCTGTATTTGGGATAGAGTTAGGCAACGTTTCCAGGGCAAGACGTATTCTTCCTCAGCTCCGATGTAGGAAGTGGGGTGTAACTCAAACCGCTGAGTTTGAATGACTTGAAGTCCTTCACCGCTGTTTTTCAGGGATCAAACCCGCTATTTCTATTGATCAGCATTGGGTGTCTGGGGGCGGGGAAGGGAGGGCACTTGTGGCTGTCTCCTAAGGGCTTTTGGTCGTTCGCTTTCTCTTCCTGCAGCCGAACAAAGCTCTATTTTAGGCGGAAACGGGATTATTGCCTCCTCCGTCTACGCCCCGAAACGTGAGGAGAGGCTGGTTCGGGCTGCCAGTCTCCCTCACGGGGCGGTGCCCACTCCCTCAGGCCCTGCCCCGCCCCGCCCCAACGCTCTGGCCGAGACGCCCGTGCGCGTGCGCGTTCCGCTGTGGGCGGTGCCGCGCTGAGACGCGGCGTCCTGGTTGCGGGGCAGCGCGGAGCTCCTCGCAGGTGGGTCGGGCTGGGCACGGGGCCTTGCCCCACCCGCCCCTGCTCCGGGTGCGTGTGGGGAGGTGTTCCTGGCATGGGGTGCTGGGGCTCGCGGGACACGACTCTGTCCGTCCCGCGCCTCGGAGTGGGGGCTCTTCCATGGGGGTCGCAGCGCCCCTCCCCCCGTCGGGGCGCTGAGCGAGGCGTCATGGCAACTGTTGCTAGGGAAGGACGCGGCGCGCGGGGGGGCGGAGCCGCTGTGCTGAGCGCCCCGCCCCGCACAGGTGGATGCCGGGGCTTTGCCTGGTGTCTTTTGGGCATGAGGGGCCTTCCTCAGGGTTTGTAGCAGGAACTAGCTGCCGCGTTTCTCAGAAGTTTGTTCTGCTGTCACGTTGTCATGGCGGAAAAAGGGAGAGAAAAGCGCCTCCTCTTGCCTCGCATCTGCCCTGGGAGGCTGCGGATTCTGTCGCGGGAAATATCGGCCATACTTTACATCAGCGCAACTCTGAGAAACGTTCATGTAAAAAACAAAAAAGAAAGGTTGATCCACTAGATAGGCAAGACAGACTGGTTTTTGTTTAAGTGCAGGGAACAGTTAGGGTAGAAACAGGCGTCTTGGTTGGCGAGCCATCGGCTGTGCAGTGATGTGACACTGCACAGCTAATTGCACTCTGGGAATGTCTCTGGACATCACTGGTAGCTGCACTCTGATGTGGGGCATATCTGTAAGGGGGGAGGGAATCCCTGCTTGCAAACTTGCTCCTCCTGTTAGGGAGGAAAAAAATCCCCTGCAGGGGATTTCCCCTATGCACCTGCCAGCCTAGGGTGGGGGGAATTCTCCCACAGGGGGTCCCCCTCCCCATTTGCAGCCCAGGCTCCATGCTATTCCTAGCAACAGCATGGAGTATGGTCTGCAATGGGGAGAGGGACCCCCATAGCTGATTCCCTGCTTCCCTCTGCTTCAGGTGTGCCAGGGGAAATCCCCTGTAAAGGGATTCCCTTGCCCTGCTGAGGGTGCTTTGTCTGCAAGAAAGAAACCCCCACTTGCAAGACATGCTCCATGAAGCCCTGACTTTCCTCACTTACCCAGACGTCCCTGGAGGGATGCCTCTGGGTGTGCAGGGAAAGTGAGGCAAACACTCCCAGGGCTTGAGGGTGCCAATCCGGTGTGAGAATTCCCAGGGTGTGCAGGACTGGGCCCACCAAGCCTGAGAAACCCCTGCTCCAGGGAGACTTAGACACAGGCAACAATAAAGTTTGTTACTGCCCCCCAGTTTGTTACTGCTTTTTGTTGTGGACACAAATTTCAGCTTTTGTGGAACAACCAAAGATAGGGGTGTCTATTAGCTTTCACTTTTTAACACCATAAAAAATTTTATGGTAGCACAAAGGTTTCTATCCTTAGTGTGGTAATAGTATTGGCAGTGTTAGGGTGATGTAACCATGATGTTCCAAGAATTATGCAAGAGGCAAAGATTACTTTGAGTGTTGTCTCTTATTCGACAAACTGCATAATTGGGATAGAGTTAGACAAGGTTTCAAATGCAAGAAGTTCGTCTTCAGGTCCCTGAAGGTCGTCCCCAGGGTGTGGAGCTCTGAGATCTATTGTGGGATCAGTTTGGGTCAGCTCGGGTGGGAAGGAATCTGAGACCGGAAAAGAGCATTTCACTCTGAAAACAAGCTTTATTAACCAGTTATATACACTAAACTAACAGTAACTCAGGTTGTCTTGGTAAGTGCATATAGTCACCCATTGAGCTGGTGGGTCTGAGATGGCCAGTTGCTAGGAGTCCTACAAGTGTCCTTTTGGTGGTATTCTTGCCAGCTGGCAGTCTCTCTTTGTTCGCACTCTGTCTCGGGCTGATCAGGTGAGCTGGCAGATCTCATGCAGATTTATTTTCTGTATGCTTTGCACCCTGTTGTTCCCAGGCAGACTTCCCTAACTGCATGGGCAGTTTAGTTATATATGAGGCATGCTACTGGCTAGCAGCCTCTAAAGGAAGCAACCAGTAGCCAGGGGTTCTCAACCATTTTAGACTGTCACCCTTCGGTAGACTTGAGGCACCCCTCAGGAAATGCCAGCTCTTAATTTTCACTTGTTTTTTGACTACAGAAAAGTAATACAGCAATTTTTCTGTTGGAGAGAACTGAGAGAGACCACAACAGGTCAGAATGTTTTTAACACTACATTTCTGTTTGAACCCTGGTTGAGAATCACTGTTGTAATAAAAAATCAATAACACTCTGCAGTTAACCTTCTTTCACCCTAGTCAGGTCTACACTTCTTCTCCACAGGTGAAAAATCTGCAAGATCATATCTTAAATTTAGCAAATTTGGCAATCCCATCTTTATGGCAATAGCTTTGTTTGTATGAGAGAGGATTATGCAGGATTAAGGCAGGACCATTCTCTCAAAATATATTTAGTACCATTTTACACAACAGAATAATTAGGTTTATCTTTCAAAGTTTTAGTTATGAGTGACCAGCCAATGCCATCTATGTTGTACCAAGGATTAACAAAAACATACCAGATTCCTATTGGTCATCTGGACTACACATTCATTGAGAAATGCACAGATGTGAAACACCTTGAAAAGATTCTCAAGATATTAAGGTAAACGTTTGAAATTCTGTTTTTGTTACTTCATTATTGACAACACTGAAAATGTTAATCCACCAAATACATATAGCATAAGTAGAAGTAGTATCAGCTGCTTCTCACTGTCCCATCATCCTACTCTAGTTGTAGCATGGAGGTACCTCCCCCAAAAGAAGGTAGTGATTTCAAGCACCTTGCCTGTTTAATTCTTGGAACATTTGTTGAGAGTGATACATGTCCATGTTTAGACTAATTGCAATGATGTTTTTTATAATATGGATGTTTATCTGCTGGAAACTAGTCTCAAACTCATTTCATGTTTGTTACCAGACTGCTGCTAGGTGGTAACAACTCTCAGTTGCTTGGAAGTAAACTATCCTCTGTGGTTCCTATTGTGTGTTATACACAGAAGTATTTATATTTCTGGAGAACACAATATTATTTGTTTCTTGTGCTTAACTTTTAAATTATGTAGATTTTCTGTTTCTGTAAGGTCTGGTGAGGAAGGGTATTACCCCGATCTCACATTATTTTGTGAAAAGCGCATTGAATGTTTAGCTCCTGGGAGCAGAGCCCTTCGAAAAGATAAGCCTGCAGCCACTGCAGCTGACTTTACAACTGAAGAATGGGAAGAAATAAATGGTGAAATTAAGGTATAGTATAATTTCAGTCTCTAACGTACAGTACTAG